TTCTTTAGGATGTGGGAGGGTGAAACTGATTAAAGGGACCGTTTAGGTGGCCCACCGGGCAACGCTCGATCGCTATGGAAGGAGATCTCCGAGGCAGGAGGAACCCAGGGTGCTACCTTGAAGTAGTTGATTTCGAAGATGGCTTCAGGGTACGGCAGGTTGTAGCTCTGCAGATTGGCGTAGAGCCCCGTGCCGGGCGACCGGAAGTCCGGGATCCCCGCAGCTGAAGGGACACAAGGGGAGCCTCTTGGAAAACCCACCCAAATGCCGAGCGGTGTTGGTCAATGGGATGAGATGGAGAACGGATGCCTCAATGCCCGGGGAGCCCTCTAGCAAGGGGCTGGTCGCCTCCTTGTCCCTCAGCCTAGCAGGGGAGCAGTTTTCTCCTAACACTCATTTTCTGGGGTGCCACCCGCACATTTTAGATCAGCCGTGGGCAGAGTTATCAGGTTCTAGGGATTCCGGATTCTTAACCGGGACTTGGGAACAGCGAAAGTCCCCCAACTCCCCACAGAATCCATCCCAGGTTTTTCAGGGAGCCCACTCCAGGTGAGGACAGGTCTTCTGCGAGTCTGACCAGTGCTAGGTCATAAAGCTCCTGGCCACATACCTCAGTGCTGGAGCCAGGTGCTTTGGCTAGGAAACTCGGCCGCTGTGCAAGTCTGGATGTGCGATATAACCCCAAGAACTGCTCCGCCACTGCCCAACAGGGGGCGCTGTGCTGCCAGAGGTGCTGTCTTTCAAACAAGACTTAAAGTCCTGAACGTTCCTGGTCGCTCAAGGTCCCATAGCACCTTCCCCCTCCCTTCTGCCCAATAACACCCTGGCATTAGAGACAGCGTTCTGGTCAAATTCCAGCCAGCGCTATTCCATCCTGCCTCCCTACCATCCTCCTGCAGTTTCAATCAGATCCAGGATTCATCTTCACTTCCTCTCCTAAACGGCTGTGCAACTGTCACGCTCCACACCAGAGGCAGATGCGTGATCCCTGCATAAACAGCTGCTGTGCCCCAACCCCAGAACTGGCTGCGTCTCGGCACTGGAGGAGGGACCAGTACAAACAGCTGCCAACCTCAAGAGTCGTCTGCATTTCTGTGGAGGGGTGAGCGATCCCTGTACAAACAGCTGCCGCGTTCCACCCCAGAGGTGGCTGCATTTCAGCAGTGGCTTGTAGACAGCTTTGGGATGGAAAGTGCTATAGAAACACTAGGGGAAACTGAGCCGTATCAGAACCCCCTCGGTTTATTGCTACGCGCTGGTTTCTTTTCAAAGTGAACGATCTAACCGCCGCGCCCGCTGCTGTACTCACAGGTCGAGATCCCAGCGCCCACTATGCAGACGACGTTCCTGCCTGCAAGGTAACAGAGGGAGGCGTCAAACCTGACTCTGGAAAGCTACTCGGGAAACAGCGCCAAGCTCTCAGTGCTTCCAGGGGAGGGCGGGTGGCGTTGGTAGACTTCACAGCAGCCACCTGGCCCAATTTGCAAACCTCTAGACTCTCAGGTCTAAGATCTAGATCAAAACTGCACTCCTGACCTCTGCTGGACCAGGTCCTGATCTGCAGTTACGCGCAGGCCCCTCTGTGCCGCTCCGGGGAGGAACAGCCCTCTAAGAGCATCCCTAGGGGCCTCCCCAGCTGGCATAAAGGCCCCCGCTTCCAGCATGGGGGACCAGAGCTCACTGCAGTATGGCAATTCTCTGCTTCATAGGGGCCATGGGAAGCAGAGACCCAGCAGAGCAGCCCTGAGGCAGCTCTAAGTTATGCCAGGCCCAGAATACGAGCGGCACAAGGGAGGTTTAAAGACACCTCCACCAACCCTGTCCCAAGTGCCGAGAAGGAGTAACTGCAAATCAGGCCCACGGAGGCTGGATCTCTCCCAGCAGCACAGGAGCACCGAAGCACGGATGACTGTGCAAGTCAGACTTGTCCCCCGGCTTGTAAATTACACCAGCATGGAGTCCCTGCCACATTCACGGTCGGCTCTATGCCTCCCTTTCGGCAGCCCCTCTGGCCCCCGGTCTCTCCCAGGCATTGGTTACCCCCAGCACCTTCCCCTTTCCGTTTGGGGGATCAGAATGAGGGTTGGCTCCCTGGCCAAGAAGGGAGAGTCAGCTTACACTTCTCGCTCTGCATGAAGCGGCTCACTCCGTCCAACGTCAGCTCATCCAGCACCTTCTCCGGCTTCTCGCTGCCCAGACCCAGCGTCCGGGACAGGAGGTGTCGCAGGAAATCCACTGAAAGGGAGAGAACAAACAACGTTAGCCGCTGGGGTCCCCTAGGAGCCAGGACTCCTGGATTCTGTTCCCAGCTCTGGAAAGGGAGTGGGGGGCTTGTGGTTACAGCAGGGGAGCCGGGGGCCAGGACTCCTGGGTTCTATCCCCAGCTGTAGGAAGGAAGTGGAGGTAGTGGTTAGTGCAGGAGGGGCTGGGAGCCAGGATACCTGGGTTCTAATCCCAGCTCCTCCACGGACTTACTGAGCAGTCTTGGGCAAGGCAGTGCCCCTCCCTATGCCTCAGTTTCCCCCTCAGGAACCCATTTCTTCCCATTTCCCAATCTCAAAGAGGGGGATGATTGTGAAAATTACTTAATGTTTGGAAAGTGCCCTGAAGATGCTACATAAGAGGGGAAGGAGGGCCCAGTGGTTAGGGTTCAAATCACAGCTCTGCAACTGACTCCTTGTGGGACAGTGGACAAGTCACTCGGGCCTGGCGTACGCTGCAAAGTTCTCCCCAGGCAGCTCTGTGGGCTAGGAGTGTTCACGCCCACTAGGCGACACAGCTGTGCCAGCAGAACCCCCAGTGGCGACGCAGCGAAGCCAGCAGAAGAGCGCGCCTGTCAGTTCAGTTAACGTCTTTTGTGGAGGTGGTGTCGCCGGACTGGCAGGCTCCATGCCTCGGTTTCCCCATCTGTACACTGGGAATAATGGTGCTGCCCTGCCTCCCAGGGTGTTATGAGGACAAATATGTTAGAAACCAAGAGGCGTTCAGGAGCCCGACAACCACAATCAACGAAGATTATTCAATCCCGATTCCGGCCACAGACCAGTTTTTGCCTCGAAGCCCGGACAGAAAAAACTGGTCTAACTGCAGATTCACCCGATGCTTTAGAGCCTCCCGAGAGGAAGGAATAGCCATAAATTAATAGACCCAGCTGGCTCTCACAGGCTCTCGCTAGCTGGCTATGCACAGTCCATCCCCTCTGTATCACAAAGGAAGCCCACGCAGCTTGGCCTCCCCACGCTCCCCATCCCGCCCCTACAATAATGCACAAGCCACCTACTTTCAGACTCTCCAGAGGCGCCACCGTTTTCGGAGTCAGAATCGGAGTCCTGAAGAACAAAATATAGAAAGATCAGTCGGTGAAGTAAGGCAACGTGAACACAGAACTGTCTTCTACGTTTAGTGGCTACTGTTAGAAGCATCTCAGCCTGGGGTAGAATCGGCTGGGGAATTGGAACCAAGGAGAGTCAGGACTCCTGGGTTCTAGCCCCAGCTGCGGGAGGAAAGTGGGGTCTAAATGACTGGAGTGGGGGCTTGCGGGGATCAGGACTCCTGGGTTCTATCCAGCTCTGGAAGGGGAGTGGGGTCGAGTCGGTTTTAGAGCAGGGAGATGGGGGGGCAGGACTCCTGGGTTCTATTCCCGGCTCCACGAGGGAGCGTGCTTTGGTGGTTTATCACCAGAGAAGGGTTTGAAGATCAGGACCAAACTCCGTCCCTCTAAGGATTTTCACGCCAGACACAGAAGGGGCAATTTGCACAACTGTTGGGTCAGACTCTCACCGCAGTCCAGTGTCACTGCTGTGGGATTTGAAAGCCACACGGGGCTGAGCCCTGGGGACAGGCGGCAGGGGACGAGGAGGGACAGGGTTAGCTAGGACGGGATGGGGTTTCCCCTTGTCCCTTGGTTGCAATGGGTTAGCTCAGACCAAGTACATGCACCCTCCCCACCAAGCTCACTGGGCCTCACCACAAAAGGGAACCCTGACTTCTTCCACACCCCTCCCCCAAATACTCACAGGCGAGTCTGAGCCCCTCTCTGCCTCAATTTCTCCGGCACCCGCCGCTGTGACACGGAAAGGAAAAAAATCCAAGTTACTATCAGAAAGGGCCTGGGAGGAAAGGGGACCCCGCTGGCTCAGGGGTGTGGGGGGACGCGAGTGATTTGGGGGGCAGGGGGAAGGAGCCCCCCAGGAAAGGGAGGTCCCCAGTGATTCAGGGTGCAGGGAAACAGGCGCCCGCCAGGGAAAGGGGGGACCCCAGTGACTCGGGGGGCAGGAGGGGAAGCGGGGTGCCTGTGACCCGGGGGGCGGGAGGAAGGAGTCCCGGGAAGGGGGGGCAGTGGGGACTCGGGGCACAAGGGGAGGAGCCCCAGGCGGAAGGGGGGACCCCGGGGGGCGCAGGGGAGGCCCATGACTCGAGAGGGGCTCGGGGGGAGGAACCCCGGGAAGGGGGGACCCCGATGACGCGGGGGGGCGGGGCAGGGTGAGCCGCCATAGCTGGGGGGGGGTCCCCGCTATCTACCGTCCCGCTCGGCCATAGATCCCGGCGCGGGGCTGCCCCGGTGCCTGCCCCGCTCGGCTCCGCCAGGCCCGACTGCGGCTCAGGACCGGGTCCGCCCCCCCGCGGCAGAACTACAACTCCCAGCGTGCCCCGCGCCCCGCCCCTATTCCCAGCATGCCGCGCGCCCCGCCCCTATTCCCAGCGTGCCCCGCGCCCAGCTCCACAACTCCCAGCGTGCCCCGCGCCCCGCACCGCCACTCCCAGCATGCCCCGCGCCCAGCACCGCCACTCCCAGCGTGCCCCGCGCCCAGCTCCACAACTCCCAGCATGCCCCGCGCCCAGGACCACAACTCCCAGCGTGCCGCGCGCCCCGCCCCTATTCCCAGCGTGCCCCGCGCCCAGCACCACAACTCCCAGCGTGCCCCGCGCCCGGCCCTGACCGAAGTTCCCAGCATGCCCCGCGCCCAGCACCACAACTCCCAGCCTGCCCCGCGCCCGGCCCCGCCCCCCGTTCCCGGCGTGCCCCGCGGCCCCCAGGAGCCCGCCGCGGATTGGCTGGGGCGCTGGGGAATTCCCCGGGCCCCGAACTCCGCTCCCTGGGCGCAGCCTGAGCCAGCGGCGCCGGCCCGGGCATGGCAGCGGCGCCCCGCGAGCCGCAGGGTTAGGGCGGGTCCCGCAGCAATGGCGGAGCCGGGGCCGGGGGAGGCCAAGCGGCCGGAGGCGGGCGAGGACTGGTGCGACAGCGGCCTGGGCTCGCTGAGCGAGGGGCAGCTCAGCCAGATCCAGGATGGCCTGGGGGCCCCCCAGGAGAAGCCCCCGCAACCCCCTGCTGCCGTCCCCGTGACCTCTGACCCCTGCCCCGGGGGTCGCCCTGTGACCTCTGACCCCAGTGGCCCCAAGACCCCCGACTCCGAGCGCCTGGACTCTGCCCTGGGCGAGGACGAAGCCGGCTGGGGGGCGGCCGTGGGGCAGGCGGTGGGGGCCATCACCCAGGGCGTGGAGGCCGTGCGGCTCGGGGAGCCCGCGTCCCGGGCTGGGGAGACGCCCGCGGTGGCCCCCGAGGCCTGGCTGCACCACGTCCTGGGCTTCGTGACCGAGGACGGGGATACGTAAGTATGCGGGCGCCTGCTTTGTTCAGCCGCGTCCCTGACTTGGGAGAGGGGGGTTCAGGCACCCCGGTGCTGGCCCGGGTATCACCCCCTCGGTGCAGCTCCCTTATAGGATGGAGGGAACCCGCTCTCGGTGATCGGTTTCGGAGTGGCAGCCGTGTTAGTCTGTATCAGCACAAACAACGAGGAGGGCGCCTCGTTTTTCTCTTGGTAACGTCCCTTCTTAGGGTCTCTTTGTCCCCAGCCCCGTCTCCAAAACCCTGCCTCGGGTCCCAGTCGTGGGGGCTAAGTTATGTGGAAGCCAACGCGGGGACAGGGCCCCACTGCTCTGTGCTCTTAGCAACGCACCTCAGCACGACAGGGATGCAGCCCTGCCCTTGGATCTTAACTAGCATTTTGGCCGAGAAAGTGCAGTGGGGGGTGGGGCTGCTGAGTCATGGGCTTTCCCCCGGGTACTCCTCAGTCCTGACCCACAGCCACCCCCCTGCTCTAGTTTTGGACTTCGGACACACAGCAGACAGACCCCTAAACTGCAGGTCCCCTGCTGCTAGTTCTGTGCTGTCTCCATTGACACTGGCCCTCAATCCCTGGTCTCTCGGTCCTGGGACGCTTTAGGCATCGTCTGCAAATCCGTCACCGTTGGGAGCCTTTTCCGTTGCCCAAACACATACAAGATTTGCCCTATGGCTTCCCTGCTACCTCCGCAGCTCCTTGGTACTTGTGCGCTCTTTGCTGACTCGATCGAGTCTTCTGCTTGCTAATCACTTCCCTTTCAGGGGCGGTATTTTCAGCCAGTTGCGCGGTACCGCTTTTTCATTTTGCTTGGACTGGTATCTGTTTTTCTCTCCTCAGAGCCCTCCACCTGGCTGTGATTCATGAGCATGAGGCCTTTCTGGATTCTATCCTGCAGTACACGGCTGGGACGGAATACTTGGATCTGCAGAACGACCTGGGCCAGGTTGGGCCGAGACTGGAGCATTTCTGTCTGTATCATCCTCTGTTTTACAGTGGGGAAACTGAGGCATGAGGGGGCAAATTGGCTTGCCTGAAGATCGCACAGCAAGCCGGGGGGCAGAACTCGGGAGTACTGGCTCCCAGTCTGGTCCCTACATGATGCCACCTCCTTTATGAAATGCTTGGGGTGCTGATTGGAAAATGAAACACAACCCCATGTTAAAAGCCCCTCAGCATCATAAATGACTTGTGGGAGGAGGGAAGAGAGTTACAGAGCACAACTATCTCTTTGGGGCTGGGACTGTCCCTAGCTTTGTGTTTGTACCACATCTGGCACGATGGAGTCCCAACCAGATGGAGATGCTACTGCAAAATAAGTGATCAAGAACCGGGGCGGGCATCAAAACACGTCCGCCCCTTTTGTGGCAGAGGGATGGGGAGCAAGCGTGGGGGCTTGACAGCAGTGACGGGATCAGGGAAGGCTTCGTTTCAGGACGTAAGCTGATCTTCACTCATCCTGGGGTCTTCGCTCATCCCAGGCGGATAAACTGACTTCCACGCAGCTCCTCGTGCACAGGGAGGATGTGACCTTGTCCGCCCTACGCCCGAGTATTACAGGCGGCTTTTGTGAGAATAGTGGATTTACCCTGGCGTCTTTGGCTAAACTTCCTGACCCTCTTGTGCAATTGGGTGCTGCCCTCCTACCCCAGCACTGTTCCTGGGGTATAGGGTGCAAAGCTGTTTGGGAGAATTTGGGGTGAAACCCACTGAAAGAAGTGCTGTCTAGTGCTGTTGATGAGGATCGACCAGGCCCCTTTTAGGGGAGACCTACCCTGAGCTTTCTCACCCCCCCCTCTCTCTCGTTGCCCTTCTCCAGACGGCACTGCATATTGCAGTCATCCTCGGCGCCTCCAACTTTGTCCGCAAGCTGATGGCAGCCGGGGCGGGGCTCTGCGTGCAGGAGAGAGCTGGCCACACAGCGCTGCACCTGGCATGCCGGGAGGGCTGGCGGGACTGCGCACAGTGGCTCCTGGCAGCGCTGAGCGGGCACAGGCCCGGCGAGGGGACTGACGCCTGCGCTCAGTTGGACTGTACCAATTATGATGGTATGGAGCCTCTCGTCACCCGCCTGGCAAATACACTGGGCCCGTTACACGTGGGACCTTTGTCCGGAGCATTCTCACCCTCCTTCCCTTCCCCTTCCCCAGCCAATAAGGAGCTGGCACCACAGCCTGGCACCAGCCCAGCTCCCATGGCCAGAGCATGCAGCGCTCCAGCTATTCTCTGCTTCCCCCAAGCTTGTGGAGGGCCGAACATGAGTTAGAGGCTTCTCTAACATACCCAAGGGCCAGAGAACACCAGAATTTGGCCACCACCAAAGTGGCTTCGATGCCCGTTTGCCCCGAGTGCAGAAGTGGCTTAACTGAGAGTGAGGCCCGCCACTTTGGGGGTGACAAAAACCAAAAGGCAGTATGCTGAGTGGATACATAGTCTGCTGTGTAGCCCAAAGTTAACCTGTGGAACTCCCTGCTGCAGGACACGACTGGTGCGAAGAAATCAATGAGACTCCTCCATAAAAGATCCCTCTAGTCTTGTTTCCGCCCCCCCCCCCCCCCCCCCAGGGCGAACAATCCTCTCGTGTTGCCATGACAGCAGCCAGCTGGTCCACCGATAGGTTGCTAGGTGGCCTGAGGGAGACAGAAATCAACTTGATCAAAATTGTCTGCTCTTGGTTTCCACAGGTTACACGCCGCTGCACGTGGCTGTCCTGCGGAAGGACCTCGAAGTGGTCAAGCTCCTTGTGGGTGCCGGAGCCGATCTCAACAAGGCGGTTAGTATTGGGGCTGGTGTGGATCATGTCCAGGGAGGGGTGGGAAGAGATCGAAGGCATTTACCCTTCCCAGAGTACTCCGTGGCAGCCTCACTGACTTGTCTGTGCACCGCTGGCAGGAGCTGAGCTGCGGGCGGAGTCCCCTCCACTTGGCAGTGGAGTCGCAGAGCCCGGAAGTGGTGGAGTGCCTGCTGCGCGCCGGTGCGGACCCGAGGGCCCGGATGTACGTCGGTTACACCCCCATCTATAGCGCCGTGCACAGGCCCAGCCAAAAGATTTTGCAGCTGCTCCGGGAGTTCGGCTCGGAGGAGCCCGACTGGGACTCGGAGGAGAGCCTGGCTGACAGCAGCGACGTGAGTGGGGTGGGGGTACTGAATTAACACCGCAGGAGGCTGGAGCGCCGCTGGCACCTGGGCGAAGCCAGACCAAGCGTCCCCCCTTGCTCTGTCCTAGAGCAGCCCCTCCCCCTCTAGGAGTGAGGCTAGACAGCAGTGCTGGAAAGCCATTCCCATTCTCTAGCTATGTAGCACCCCTCAGCCTGGTTCCTAGTCTGCTCTGCCACTAACTAGCCCCCTCCTGGGTAAGCCTAGTGGACACTGAAAATCAAACAGGACCCACAGAGACTGAACCCCCCCTTAGAGTGGGTCCCTCTAAAACACAATGGGTGGGGAAGCTGGCATTGCGATTGGCAGCAGTGCAGACCAAAGGGGTCTTTCACCAGCAAGGGAGTCTCTTTTCAAAGGGATTGAGTTCCTCGAGTCTCTGGTCTATTTGGATTAACGCAGACCAGATTAAGGGGTGATGGGATCAGTTGGTAAGTACCTACCTCGCAGTGCTTCATTGGTAGTAAAAGGTGCCGGGGCGTGAGCAATTTTTTTTAACATTCATGACTGACATGGCAAATCCCGAGATGCCAGTGCTGTGAATTGCCAAGCCTAAAGGTGCCAGGACTCGGCCCTAGCACCAGTCAAGCCCGGCTACGTGGGTATGAGAAATTTGACAGTAGATGGCTCTTCAGTCTCCTACCAGTTGGAAATTGAAGCATTGACTTGTCGAGATTCAGGAGAGAAGGGCAAATTTTTAACAGAGTAATTAGTCCTTAATTGTCCTAGAGCTGTGATGGATTCTCCATCACTGACCATGTTTAAATCAAAATTGGTGGGTGTCCCCCCCAAAAAATCTGCTGTAGTTCAAACAGCAATTAATTCGGGGCGGCTCCGAGGCCTGCGTTTTACAGGAAGTCAGACTCGATCAGTCGTCCCTTCTGGCCTCAGGATCTGTGAGCCTAATACAAGAAGGGAAGAAAGCTGAACATGGGGCATTGGCAGCGACAGCAGATTGTGTGTGCGTGGTTGTTTGAATCTGGCCCTGCCCACCTGCTGCGTAACAGTCTCTAAACACGCCCACGCCCCCTTCGATCCCGCCATACCGCTAAAGTCATCAGCGAAGCTCTCCCGTTTTTCAGGAGGAATACGACGACATCGTCATCAACAGCGGACACTATAAGAACTGACGGGGCTGGGCCGGCATCGCCTGCCGCGTGAGCCGTTCCCCATCTCCATAAAAGACTCGCGTCCTGCCCTGCCGCTGTGGGAATAAATTTGGCAGTGGCGCAATCTCTCCGTTCCCAGCTAGTTCCAACTATTGATCCAAAAGCTGCAGTCTCTGGCTGCTACTTGGAACCAGTCGCCAAAATTCACCAGAGCTTTGATCTAATCCATTTATTTCCCCTCTCACTTGTTCGTTTTCCTCTGTGTTTCTTAGATTAGTCAGTTTATATCCAGTTATTTTGATTACGTTAACATTTAAAAAAATGGTATTTCAGCACCTGCTGCTCTTTGCAGTCGCAGCTGGGATGGATTGTCGGCAGGATTTCTCTGCTGGCTGTATCCTTTGCCCTGTCGAGCCTCCGGCCGTTTGCTTTTGAAGCGGGAGCGTCATCCCTACCCGTGCAAGGGGTCTTGCTGGAGTCCACGGATGCTGGTCGCATAACCAAGCAATTCGGGTCAGTGGGGAGCTGCACAAAACGTGGTGCGTGCCTGGCTGCCTTTCAGACACCTTGGGCCTGTTTGCTTTTATCTTGAGAAGCAGGGAGCACCGCCTTACTCCAGTTGGATTTAGTACTTGGGGCCGGATTCTTTTTAGCTGCTTCCTAACTGAGGCGGATGGATTTTCACGAGCGCCATGCAGCCCTGGTCTCCTCCCCTGGCTGTAAGGACGAGGGCGGGTGAGTGCTCTTGAAAATCTGGGCCTCTGCTAGCGTTTAGGATCCAACGGCCAGACAGGGCAATAGCTCCGACGCAGGGTAGGAGGATTGAAACAGGCAGGGCAGGGGAGAAATTCACAGGAGGAGCAGATGAGGCTGGTGAGGTCTGTTATGAGCAGAGTGAGGAAGAGGAGGGAAGAGAGGCCAAAGAGTGAGACCTTTTAGATCTCAAAGGTGGGGGCGTGAGGTTGGAAAGAGCCAAGGTGGGTTTGGAGCTGTCTGATTTGGGTCAGGCGTGGAGAAGGAGGGACTGCGTCTGTGCCTTGTCTGTAGGAACCGTGCCTCTCTGGTTCCTGGCCAATCTTGGCTTCTTCTAAGCACCTCCGCCAGTACTGCAAGGTGGGACCATCTTCATTCCTTTCCCCGAGGAGTCGGTTTTCTTCCTCTGTGCCCGTTGACTGGCTGTAAAGCCTCGTTCGTGCCATACTTGACGCTGGGTGTCAATGGGGTCTCTTCTGGAGCTGCGCGGGAAGCGGATTTCCCATCCCATAACGGTTTTGGAGATCCAAAAATGTGCCTGCCCCAAAATTGGGCTGAAAACGCCCATCTCCGCCTTTCCCGAGCAGAAGGGCTGAAAATCATTTCAGTTGAGGCGTTCGATTTTGATCGTTTTGTAAGTTTGAATTTATTCATTTCAAAACCAAAAGTTGTTTTGACTCCAAAACTGGAAACTTTCCTTGTTAAAACAGGACGTTTCACCGGTTTTAAACCCCCACCGCCCTCCCAGTGTTTTGAACTGAGCAAGTCAGCCAAAGCGGCCCTGTTCACAAGTAGCCTTGGCTTTGACAAATTGACGTGGTTTTTTCCCCTCGGGGGGAACGGTTTGTCAGATTCCCGACTAGCTCTGATCTTTGCATCTCACACCGTGGACCCTCAATGGAGACGGGACCGCTGGATGCTGTGCTGTCTGAAATTGCTTCCATTTGCCGGGGGGGAATTTTGGAAGAACTGTCGTAAGCAGACCTGAGACTTGATTTAGAAACTGGCTGCATTAGTTACAGGTGGCTTTTCAGGAAGACCTACTACTCTCCCTCTCCTCCGCCCGCTCCCCCCCCCCCCCCCCCCCCCCCCCCCCCGTTCCATTTGAGCTTTGGAAGGGTGTGGGGAGAAAAGATTGACTTCTACACAAAATCCTCCTCGTTTGACGAGGCTGCCGTTTCCTCCTTTACATTCTCACGCTTCTTGTAAACGAAAACACAGGCCAAAACGTAAGGGAAGATGGGGGCTCTCTGCTTTTTAGGGGACAGGGGTTAATTCTCAAGGGCCGAGCACCTTAGCTGACGTCAATGTGATCTCAGTACCAGGAGGTGGGGGCTGGCCAATGAGGTTCTGGATGTGTCGGGGGGGGCGGAATCAGTAGTCTTCCTGGGAAGTGGGTTGGATTTTTAGTTCACTTGCCCCAGTGCGAAGGACTGCGGGACCTGACTGTGTTAGAGTCAATAATACTTTTCCCAGCCCTCAAGTGGACCAGGATTGAGCCCTCTCGGCCTCTGTACTTATTACTAAAGGGCTTGTCTAACACACCAGTTGTAGCCCTTCAACAACCCCTGGCTCTGTGCAGCAGGAGATGACAAAGCAGATCAGGCCCATTTTACAGATGGGGAAATGGAGGCACAATGAGCTGCCCAAGGTCACCCTGCAGGCCAGTGGCCAAACTGGGAGTAGAACCCAGGTTCAGCAAGTCCCTGGTCCAGGGCTCTATGCACTAGGCCACACTGCCTCTTTGTGTCTGTCTAGTTAAAGTTGTACAATCCCATCTGTGGGCCTGCAGTTATACTGACACTGGGAAGGGGAATGGGCTGTACCAATATAAGGCACTTCTAGACCAGTCTAACTGTCCACACTAGCGGTTGTACTGTCTTGCTATCAGTACCCCCCCCCCCCCCCCCAAGTGACCTGAGGCTCCTCCCAGTTTAACTCCCAAAAGCAACCTGGTCCCTGGCTGATTGTTCTCCAACACCGTGCTGAAGAGGCTGGCTGAAGAAACTGCTGTATTCTTCTCCCAGCAGAAGGGAAATGGCTTTTTCTATGTAAGCATTATCTGTTCATTTCCCCAGCTGGCTCGGTGGCTAGAGACACAGATACCCCATAACTCTCGTCCAGTGCGTGTGGGTTTTAAGCTATGTTGTGAGTTTTGTATGAGCTGTCGTCTAACTTTATACGGTTCTGTGTCTGTGTGTTCTTTCTCCCCACTCTGTGTCGTGTATGTTCTTGACCAGTGATGGGGGATGAGATTAAAGCTACTGCTTGACCTATACAGCGTGTCTGGTGTTTGTGTGGAGGGCAGGGCGTTTGGACAGAGGATTGGACTCGCTGCATCACAGCCATAGTCCATCTCTAATAATACCAGGTTCTCGCATAGCACTTCCCATCCGTAGAGCTCAAAGTGCTGTACAAAGGAGGTAAGCGGCATTTTATCCCCATTTTACAGACAGGAAAACTGAGGCACAGAAAGGGGAAGTGTCTTGCCCAAGGTCATGCACCAGGCCAGTGGCAGAGCTGGGCCTGGAACTCCTGAGGGCCAGCCAGCGCTCTACCCACTAGGCCATGCTGCCTCCCTGATCTAGCCCCGCATCCTGCCCCCCACGCAGTGTGTGCTTCCCTCTCCGGAGTTCTGAATTTGCCACCTTTTCAGTTTCCTCGAATGCTTCCTTTGTTCTTGTGTTGGGAGAAGAGAGACTCCCGATCTGTCTCCAGGACTTTCGCTGGTAGCGGTAAAGAAGCATTGTGCCTACTTGGGCCCTGTCTACCCTACGGGCGCTCCAGCTGCTGCAGGGGACATGCTTTATGCGTAGCCAGAAGCAGTTTTTCTGCTGCTGTAGTTAATCTGGGTGGTGGTCGCTGGGTCAACAGAAGAATTCTTCCAGCGACCTAGCTGTGTCTAGGCCAGGCACTCCATTTTTCACACCCCTGCACGTGACCCAATGGACGTGTAGACCACACTTGGCATTGACCAGCCTAAGCTATTCTGGTATCATTTGACTTTGCGTGTGGAATAACAATCCTGGAATAGGTTTCAGAGGGGCAGCCGTGTTAGTCTATATCCGCAAAAAGAACAAGGAGTCCTTGTGGCACCTTAGAGACTAACACATTTATTTGAGCACAAGCTTTCGTGGGCTAAAGCCCACTTCATCAGATGCATGGAGTGGAAAATGAATCTGACGAAGTGGGCTGTAGCCCACGAAAGCTCATGCTCAAATAAATTTGTTAGTCTCTAAGGTGCCACAAGGACGCCTGTTCTTTAGCCTGGAATCGAGCCACTTATTCCAGAATAGAGTATCCAACAGGGGCTGAGATACTGAGCTAGTTACGCCAGCCAGTTTTCCCCTCCTAAGACATTCCAGGGGTTTTGAAGGAATCTGACGTCTAGGCTTTATGTTGGCTCTGCCTAGGGTGACAGCTCTTACAGAGCGCTGTGTTTTCCAAACACTCCGAATCATAGACGTGTCGGGCTGGAAGGGACCGCGGGAGGTCGTCTAATCCAGCCCCCCACGCTGAGGCAGGACCAAGTCCAACCTGTCCTTAAAAACCTCCAGGGATGGGGATCCCACAACCTCCCTGGGACGCCTATTCCGGAGCTTCACTGCCCTGAGAGTCAGAAAGTTTGTCCTAATATCTCACCTAAATCTCCCTTGCTGCAGATTAAGCCCATTACGGCTTGTCCTCCCTCCAGGGAGAACAAGTGGGGTATGGCTCCCCCCCCCCCCAAAAGACAAAAATCTTTAAAAACTGCCCCCCTACCGCCAGGAGAGTTTGACCCTGAAAAGGGAAACGTGTCAGAGCTTCTGTGCCTGATTTACGAGTGTACACAGAAGGGGCCCGGATGCTGCCGTGCTGGGAGTCAGGGTGAAATGACTAGATGGCCCATGTGCTGGAGGTAGTTAGCATGTTTGTAAAGGCCACTGAAATGAATGGGGAGCCGTTCACACCTCAGGGAGAGGGGCCACAGGCTTTCTGCTGGCTTGTATTGCATTCAATATTTAAAAAGTTATCCCCGGTAAAAGTTGGCTTGAACCCAGCTGACATACCCGAGAAAATCACTTGTGTGTTTGCAGGGGTGTCGTACCTTAACTCGCCCCTTCCTGGTTTTCGGAGGCACCACTGAGCAACTAACTGCATTCATGAAGCCATGGGGCAGTTAATACAACTCCACGTTTAACAGATTCAAGTTCTCCCTTTGCTTATTAAAACGGTCGTTGAACGGGTGCTGGGAGTCCTCTCTCGCAACCCTCTGGAACTTTGCTGTCGGAAAAAAGTCAACAAGCGCCAGAGCTTTAGCTGAAAAAGATAAAAATCGGTCTCACGTGGGCGGTGCAGACCTTTGAAAGGGACACAATCAACTTCAAATATAGTCCGTTTCAAACACCAGTTACCAATCTAGTCCATTGCAAGGTGCGCGTAACAGCGTGTCTGGGTTCCGCAGCTGCCCTGAATCGTCCCCTGCCGCTTGTGTGTGGTTTTCACAACCCGCACCCCTTTTCTTTAGAAACACACTCGCGTCTTTCCCTGTTGCCGTCTGAAAGACCCGCACCAAACCGGTCCAGCCGCCCACGCAGAGAGGAGACGGTGGAAATGAAAACCACAAGTGCCGGCACGTTTCAATTGAGGGAATCACATCTTTCCAGCAGAGGTGTGCGCTTTTTAACCAGTTCGGTGCCGAAACACCTTGGAGGATCTGGGCCTTACAAAACTAGTTAATGATCATCCACATGCATGGCTCAGGGAGGAGAAGATTTTGTCCTGGTATAAGTATTTTGTTTAGGGATGTGATTTAAAAAAAAAAATCAATTTAGTTCTGCTATAGCGCTCTTATAACGGCACTGTAGTCTATTGGAAAACCCCGGTACGGATGCCATTATACCGCAATAAAGGTATTCCCCTGTTCAATTGCATTCACTACCTAGACTGGTGTAGTGTCTGGTGCCTAGACAAGGCCTTAGACATTCCAGTGATTGATCCAATCTTACACTCCACTCTACATGGGCTTAATTTTCCCACCATTACCAGTCCCCTAAAAACGAAGCACGGCTTTACAGGCTTGTCCAGGCACACAGCTGTACTGGTTAAATTTCGCCTCGGATCGGATGATGAAAAAGGCCACGGCGGACCATTTAGAGACCTGATCATGAGCATTAACGTTCTGAGCGCCGTTTCACTAAGGGGAAGGGGAGAGGAGATGGTGATCATCTAGTCTGAGCTGCATAGACCACAGGCCAGAGAACTTCCCCCAAATAATTCCTAGAGCAGACACCAGCCAATCTTGATTTAAAAATTGACAGCGGTGGACAGCCCTTGGTAGATTGTTCCAATAGTTCGCTAGCCTCTCAGTGAAAAATTGACACCTAATTTCCAGTCTGAATTTGTTCAGCTTCAACTTCCAGCCATTGGATCATGTTAGACCTTTTTCTGCTAGATTGAAGAGCCCGTTATTCAATATTTGCCCCCCACGTCGGTACTGACAGCCTGGGATCCAGTTACCCCTTCACCGTCTCTTTGTTAAGCTAAAGAGATTGATCTGAGTCTGTCACTTCAAGGCAGGTTGTCTAATCCTTTAATCATGTGTCTGGCTCTTCTCAGACCCCTCTCCAATTTATCAACATCCTCCTTGAGTTGTGGGCACCAGAACTGGACACAGTCGCTGGTTTTACAGGGCTTGCCGCTGCTGCAAAGACTTATGCCCTGGCTTAATTTTACACATATCCCATAAAGATTAAGCAAGTGCTCGGTCTAAATGCACCTTTTTCCATAACGAAGACAAGGCCTGACAGAGAGATACACAGAGAAATCTCATGCTTCAGGCCATCAGTGGTCATAGGGGTCAGGAAGGAACTGGACTAGGAGGGTTCTTAATTAAAAATTTTAAAAAGCACTGCAAGCTATCGTGACATTAGCCTGTTGTCAGTGGCTTGCTCTGGGGGAATCCACATGTTAATGTGATAAACTAAGATCCAGGCTTTTGAGGGGTCCCTTTCAGAAGCAGTTTCTTGTCCTGAAGGACTCAGTGGTCATTGAGGTCAATCCCTTTCTGCGATGGCGACCAGGTGGTGCTCGATCTCATCCTCGCTCAGTGTCCTGCAAGCCACCAAGACAGGGTGCTGTTAATTTGCGACCTGTTCTGGAAATGGGGGGGAGGAACTTGCAGGCCAAGAGGTCTTACCGGAATCGGGGATTCTCTGATGTCACTATCCCCACTTCGATCTCGCTGGCCTTGAAGTCCGTGGAGAGGACCGTCGATAAGCAAGTAATCGCCAGCTGTCAGCAGAGGAAGAAAAGGAAAAAGACTTTTTCTACTTTGCATGTGGTTAACCTGCGGAACTCCCTGCTCCAAGATATTACCGAGACAGATAACATAGGTCCTGATTTTTCCGCTCTACGACCTGTGCTAGTTTTTTAAATGGGACGTGTGACCCCTGGACAGCAGAATTCAAAACTTTCACCAGACAGGTCACCACTGAAGGGAGTGTTGCATTGTGGGATTGTTGGCGGAGGACTGCGTATACATGTGCCTCCACTCTAGCACCAGGCTGATTGATCGATCAATAGGGCTCATGTTGCTCCAGGAAGGGGATACGTTCACCCAGTCATGTACAGTGATGCACTGTTGTGTGGTCACACACACACGCACGGTGTTACGCATGGAGACACAGGGACACACACGCACGCGCACACCGACCTCGACAGGATCCACAGGCGAGCCCTGTTTCTTCTTCAAGGTCTTCTCCAGGAAGCTGTTAGCCTCGGTCTGCTTCACCCCAGCAGTGGTCGCTTTATAGCCGCAGTAGTAGCCCGCCGGGTCGCATTTGAACAGCTGGGGCCCCAGTTCGTGGTCGATCCCGATCAGGATCATACCTGCCAACAGAACCGGGAAGGGAGGGGTCATGGGAAGGGGCGGGATTCTGTGTCTCTATCAGTCCGAACCGGCGGGAGTTTGGAGCCAGAGTGTGAAGTGGCCATAAAGAAATAAAGTCGGGGCGGGGGGGGAGCTCATATGGGACCACCTGGGTCCCGGGGGAGGGGGCGTTTGGAGAATGGGAAGAAGTTGGAGGGTTTGCTGGGGCAGCCGTGTGGGGGTTAGTGATTAAGGGAGGGCTGAGTTAAGGGGCGGTCAGGGGTTATGGGGCAGGCTGTGGGTGGGGTAGGGGATGGGGGTGGTCATTGAGTGAGTGGGGCTAAGTGGGGGACAGACAGCGGTTGGGTAAAGGAGAGGGGTGACTCTGGGTGGGTCCATGGGGTGGGGTGGCTCTCCCCTGCCCCCCGTCACTCACAGCAGCCCAGGGGTCTCATCTCGGCGTTCTGCGTGTAGACCTGGGAGATGTCAGCCAGGCGCCGGCACAGCGTCGCCACCGGGATCTCGTAGCCCTTCTTGTACTTCCATTCGGCTGCCTCGTGCCGGGCGCGCTGCACCTGGGACCGGCCGTCGGCTGGGCGGGGAAAGGAGCCCCCGTCAAACGAGGCACAAGCACCACACCCCTCCCTTCTGGTGTGTGTGTGTGTGTGTGTGTGTGTGTGTGTGTGTGTGTGTGTGTGTGTCCCTATCGCCCCCTGCTGGAGGGGCTGAGCCCTGCTCTGTGTGTGCATGTGTCTGTCCCCACCACTACAGGGAATCAGAGCTGTACTGTTCAATGACTCCGTTGCTCTCTACTGGCCGAATATCTCACAAACAGGATAAAAGTCCTAACACTGCTACACCCAAGAGTCATCCTCTTATAGGGGGCGGAGCCGGAGGACCAGGGTTCTGACCCCTTGCCGGCTGCCACAGACACCTGGGGCGAGTCACTCCCTCTCTCTAGGCCTCAGTTTTCCCATCTGTAAAATAGGGATAATCACCCTGCCTGTGTCTATTTAGAGAGTGAACTCTTTGGGGCAGGGACTATAACTTGCTCTTGTCTGGGCAGTGCCCAGCAAATGGGGCCCCTGATCTCGGTTGGGGGGAGGGTCTGGACAGTGCCCAGTGCTACAGGGGCCCTGATCTCAGTTCGTGGCCCCTAGGCGCTGCCGTAATATCGGGCATTTGCGATCTCAAGGCATCCAGGCTAGTGTGTTTCTAGAGGAGAAAAACTTGCCGGGCAGCCTGACTAGATGACCCCCCACACCTTGCGCTCTAGATCAGGACTTTGGGGCAGCCAGCGTAAGCGTCTCAGGGTCAGATCTGGAGCTGCTTTCTGGCCGCCGCACGGGGGATGGGGGTGGCGGGGATTGAACCAGCGAACTCCAGAGCGAGAAGGTGGAGGGGTAGGGCCCAGGCCCTGTTCCTGGAGCTGGCCCAGACTCGTTCCCCGCCTGGACGGGCACAGAGCGGGCGTCACCAGGAATTGCTAACGCCGGGTCAGGATTCATCCCCTGGGAGGGAACCGGAGCCCGCCCGCCCCCCACTCACCGCTCATGCCGGTCATGGCGCAGCCGATGGTCTCCGTCAAGCGATACAGGTTGGTGACGGTGCCGGGATCCAGGAGCTTATCCTAGGGGTGGGAGTGAAGGCACCAACGCCAGGTGATTTCCCTTCCCTCTGCAGTGCGGGCCGCCCCGATGGGTCCTGCCTTCGGGGGTCAGGCTGGAGGGGGGTTGCCACGGGGCCCAGGTGCAAATCGCCCCTGCACCCTACGGCTGGACCTGCTCATCCCTCGGTTTTATGCGCCGAGCAGGGTGGGGAACCTCAGGCAGGGAGTGGGGGGAGGGGCAGTCAGTGCTGGCCCCAATGCCCCAGTGTGGCACTAGGGGGCGCTGTGCTGAGGGAACGGGGTGGGAGGCTCAGTAGGGGGCGCTCGCCCCACACAGTCAGTGCTGACCCCAGTGTGGCACTAGGGGGCGCTGGGCTGCAGGGAAAGGGGCAGGGGGCTCAGTAGGGGGCACTCTCCCCGCACAGTCAGTGCTGACCCCAGTGTGGCACTAGGGGGCGCTGTGCTGCAGGGAACGGGGCAGGGGACTCAGTAGGGGGCGCTCTCCCCGCACAGCGCTGACAGCACCACCCCAGCTGTTTGTGGCACATGATGCGCGAGAGCCCAGGCATTAGCCTTGGGGTCCTGGCCCAACTCCAGCTCCGGCGCCCGTGTCCTTTCTCCCCCAAGGCGCCCCAGACAGCGGGTGCAGCTGGCACAAGGATCGGGGCCGTGATCTATGCCAGCAAAGAGCCAAGGCAGGGCTCGTTAAGGCAGGGCCCCACCCCCGATCTCCGGCCTCTCCCCCACACACTGGGCTCCTACCGGCACTTTTTTCTGGGTGACCACGGCCACAGAGTCCTCCCCCCTCACGGCCACGGTGGTCAGCCCCCCCTGGCTGATGGCTTTGAAGGCGTATTCTGCAACCAGAGACAGCAATCGGTAAATGCAAGAAGAGAGAGGGAGGTGTGTGGGGGGGGGTGTGGCACTGCTCAAGGGCTTTCCATCGGGGCTTCACAGACAAAAACGTACATGCTGCTGCAGGGCGGCCGCCTCTTACAAATGGGGAAACTGAGGCAGGCAGCGGGGGGGGGGGGGGGGGGGGACTTGCCTGAGGCCATGCTGCAAATCAGTATGCTGTTGAGAATAGGGCCCAGGTGTCCTGATTCCCAGTCCCGCCCCTGTCCTAACCCACTCTAGATCCACTCCCCTCCCAGACCCAGGCATCGAACCCAGGGGTCCTGACTCCTAATTCCCCAGCTCTAACCACTAGGCCAGGGGTGGGCAAACTTTTTAGCCTGAGGGCCACATCTGGGAATAGGAATTGTATGGCGGGCCATGAATGCTCACAGAATTGGGGTTGGGGTGCGGGAGGGGGCTCTGGGCGGGGAAGTAGGATGCGGGGGGGGGGAGAGGGCTCCGGCTGGGGGTGTGGGCTCTGGGGTGGGGCTGGGGATGAGGAGTTTGGGGTGTAGGAGAGTGCTCTGGGCTGGGACCGAGGGGTTTGGCGAGCAGGAGGGAGATCAGGGCTGGGGCAGGGGTGTGGGGAGAGGCTCAGAGGTGCAGGCTCCGGGTGGCGCACTGCTCTGTCCACAGGCGCCCCCCCTGCAGCTCCCATTGGAGCGCCGGAGGGGGCCATTGGAGCGCGTAGGAGCCAGAGGGGGGCCATGCCGCCGCTTCCGGGAGCCGCGTGGAGCGGCCCCTGATCCTGCTCCCTGGCTGGAGCTCCAGAGCGGGGCAAGCCCCAGACCCCACTCCCCAGTGGGACCTCGAGGGCCGGCTTAAAACGGCTGGCGGGCCGCAGTTTGCCCACCCCTACACTAGACCCTGCTGCCTCTCAGAACCAGGACCAGAACCCATGATTTCTGACACCAACCGTGTCCTCTAGCTGCTGGACTCCGTGGCCTCCCAGAGCCAGGGAGAGAACCCAGGAGTCCTGGCTCCCAGCCCCCCTGCTCTAACCACTAGACCCCGCTTCCCTCCCAGAGCCGGAGACAGAACCCAAGAGTCCTGATCTCCAGCAGCAAACTCCCCCCCCCTCAATTGATTATTCCAGGCCCCAAGCTTGGGAGCAAGGGTGCCAATCCCGCTCTGGCCTCAGTCCCAAGGGATGAGAAACGTGCAAACCCCCCACCCCCGGCCGGTGCCCCACAGACTGACCCACTTGGTAGAGACGCCCCTCGGGGGAGAAGATGGTGATGTGGCGATCGAAGCCGGCGCTGGACCCACGCGACATTTCGCCGTCCGTCTGGGGGCTGTGGGAGGGAGACAGGCAGACAGGGCCCTCTGCAGAGACACGGCCACTCGCCTCTTTCCCTTTCACTTTCAGTTCACCCGTGGAAAGTACCTGCCGGGAAAGGCTGCGTTAATTGGGCAGATCTGGATCCTGCAGAGGGGGTGCTGGGAAAATATGGGGGGGTTGATCACTGGAGTTGGGGGGTGCAGGGCAGTCAGGTTGGGGGTTCACTGGGATGAAAGCATCCCAGTGGGTTCAGTTTGGGGTGGCAGGGAAGCAGCGGGGGGTGAGGGGGTCACCTTCCTGCCCTGGCATCTGTCACATTTCTGGGCAAACTGCACCTGTATCTGGTGTGTTGCAGGATCAGAAAGAAGGTCCCAGGCCAGTTTAAACCCAGGCAATTTAGCCAAGAATCCTTTCTTTGTCTGCTGCTCTCTGGGGAACCCAGTTTGAACCAGTCTAGGCCAGCCTCCCCAGTGGGGAGTACCTCTCTGGAGTGAATCTGCCTGATTTCCCCCCTCCCCATAGTCCTTAGCGGGCTGTCACCTTCTCCCATGGCATTACCCACAATTCCCTGGCCCCGCAACGATACAGAAACCTAAGACAGGGAGATCTCCCCGAGACAGGCCTAGGCGGTCACAGGCCCCCAAAACCTCAACTCAGCATTAGACCTGAGGCTGCGTGTCCGCGTCCGGACTGGCCGCACAGACGCGGGGAAATATCGGGCTGGAGATGCAGAGGGCGCGGCGAGATAGCGGGGCAGAGAGGGGGGCCGGAGCTGTTCTGCGCGGCGCAAAGGGAGCCCCTGGCAGCTTTAAAGACACAGCAGGATGTTGATAAAGTGATCCCTGGCTGCAAGGAGCCAGGCGGGGCAATGGACGGGGGCATGCACCTCTGCCCTCTGCTGGCTGAGCGCAGAACTGCACCTCCATGTGTCATAGCCCCTTAGAGAGCTAATGGGGAGATCTCCCTTTCAGCTCAAGCCACAGCTGCTTGGGGTCTTGGAGCGGGAGGATGAGTTCTAACACTGGGGCGTGGGGGGGATTTTACAAATTTCATAATGGCGAATCCAAGGCGAAGGCCTCTCTCCCTGCAGAGGGACCCGTGACACTCAGCCAGACGACGATCAACGTTAGCCAGGTGGCAGGCCTGCCAATTTGCAGGCTAAGGGGGGATCTCTACTGGACAGCCAGCCCCGGCCAAGAGGAGAAGGCACTGCGGGTCATACCCCCAACCCCACTGGGAAGGTGTGGGTGGAGTGTGGGAGGGCTCTTGTCAAATTCAGGCATCACAGAATTGGGGGGGGGGGGGAGACCTGGGAGGGCAGGGAAAGTAATGAGATTGATTATAATTGTCCAACCTCTGTTTCCATCAGTAGATCCCAAAGCCCCTCCCGCTTTTAGAGGGGGAAACTGAGGCACAAAGCAGGAACATGCCTTGGCCAAGGTCACCCAACTAGCCACTAGCAGCCTTTGATCTTCCTGCATCTAAATGCAGAAGAGATTGGCGCTCCCACGCATATCCTTTTGCTCAAATTTCCACCTGTGTGTGGAGGGGAATCAATCACTAGGTTTCTTCCCAGGCTGCTGGTGCAATACGATCTGAGCACCGGCCCGGCTGACGCACAGAAAGGGGGAGACCCCTATTTTCTGCAGGTACCAGGGATCAGGTGGTTGATGGCCCAAGTCTGAGGGATGCTTTCTGGGGGAGGCTCAGCAGAAATCTCTGCTTCAGCATTTGCAAGGCACTAAATTGGACGGGGTGTAACCAACCCGACGGCATCACAGGCCAGAGGTCTGGTGCTCCGCGTGCGTTTCGCGGCGTTTATCACGGCTGACAATCAGCCCCAGCCCAGGCTCAGGTAACAGGCTCCCGGCCGTGAGTTATTAAGCAACACGGATCGATATTTACGGCACATCAGCTGATCGGAGGAAGATAGAATTTGCCACCTTGCGTGCACCCTGCCCAGTTCCTGCTCGCAAAGGACTTTGCCACTTGGGGAGGGGCCGGCGCTTTCGGATCGAAGAGGGCAGAGGCCCGGAGGCAGCGGAGACAATATTTTCACATTTCACACAGAGGGAGATTTCCACACCGAGAGGTGTGGGGCTTGGTTTATTTATTTTTTCAATAAAGAGGCGGATGCAAAAAGATGCCAAGCTGGAGGAAAGGGAAACGCATCGGCTACTGCCTGACCGACAAGAAGAAAAAGAAACTGAATTTCCAGGGCTTTGAGGATCTCTGCAGGTAAGGGACAGAGTCTCTGGTGCTCAGCGCCTTGGGAGATCCTTGGGAACAGGGCAAAAAGAGGGGCGGGTAGCCCAGGGCGTGCACGAGGGACTGGTGAAAACTGCTGCACCAGCTACCGATCTGACTGGCTTTCTGCTTCTGAACCTCTCGCTCTGCATCTCAAGCTTTCCTCTAGCTGTGGGGTGAACTGACCGCCCCCATAACTGCGGGGTCAGAGCGCCACACCCACTTTCATGTATTTATCCCTGGGAGGCAGGACTGTTATCCCCACTGTACCGCTGGGGAAACTGAGGCACAGAACGGCTAAGGCCCAGATCCTCAAAGGTACTGATACTCCTCCCTTCCAGTCCTACCCATGCAGTCTCCATGCATTTGAGGATCTGGGCCAAGCAGGGGACTTGAAACCAAGTTTCCCACATCTGAGGTTAGTACCCCGGCCGCTGCCTCCCCAAGCCATGCTAGTTACAGGGTCTGTACCCGCTCCGTAGATTTTAACCTCACCCCCCCGGTTGCATTTTGTCCCAAATGAGCCCCCAAGCAGCATACGCATGGCACCACCGAAATGCAGCCACCTCTGGAGGGGAGCACCGCACATGGCTGAGTGTAACAATCCCCGGACCTTTATAGGGGAACTAGCGCCCACATCCTCCTGCTTCCATTGACCCCTAAGAGCTAAGCATTAATTACTGTATTAGCTGGGGGGAGAAGATTGGACATGTTGGCTGAGGGGCCAAGGGTAAATCTCTAGTCAATAACTACGCCCCACAGGGATCTGTAATAGCGACACAGAGCAGACGGAAGCTCAGTTGCTAAGATCACATACAATACTTGGTGCTTACGTAGCGCCTTTCATCCGAGGGTCTCTGAGCTGGGTCAGTATCGTTATCCCCATTTTACAGATGGGGAAACTGAGGCACGGAGCAGCAAGGGCCCCTTTGCCCCCCTAGGGGACACAGCGAGTCAGTAGCAGAGCTGGGGATAAGACCCAGGAATCTTGATTCTAGCCACTAGACCACAGTCCCCCTCCTAAACTGGAGAGAGAACCCAGGAGTCCTGACTACCAGCCTCTCTCTGCTCTTACCACTAGACACCCCTCCCCTCCCAGAGCTGGGAATAGAACCCAGGAGTCCTGACTGCCAGCCCCCCGCTCTAACCCATAGCTCACACACCCTACTGGCAGCTGGGGAAAGAACCCAGGAGTCCTGGCCATTTGATAACACGCGCCTCATAAAACTGCACGACGCCTCCCAGCTCCCTGCTTTAATCCAGCCTGCCCTACATAGATCTCACTTCCCACCCAGAGCTGGGGAAAGAACCCAGGAGTCCGGGGATGGATTTAGGCTCCCAGCACGGGGGTGAATTTCACTCTGACTTTTCTTTGTGTTTTGACCTCCTGCCCCCATTCCAGCTGCCAGAATTAAATGAGCCCCAGGTCTGTTTTGCACAACAGAGGACAAGGGCTCTGGGCCCGGAGGCTCTCACCTAACACCGCCTGGCTCCGCAGGGTTGAGCTGCTTCCTGTTGGTTCAGACCAGCTCCGGGCTTGTGTTTTTGCAACATCAGACGGTCCTTTGCCTCACTGAGGCGGGAATCTGGAACTGGCCAGCGCCCGCTGCTCCGAGTCCCAGCCACCCCTGCCATCTCAAGGCAAATTACCAAGGAAGTTAGTGTCATCATCCTCATTTTGCAGCTGGGGGAAACTAAGGCACAGGAAGGGGGGGGGGGCAGGAAGGGACTTGCCCCCCATCACAGAGCCAGGTATACCCAGGGCTCCTGCCACCCAGTCTAGTACTCCGTCCACTAGGCCACGCTGCCTCTGGTTCCTATACTCTAGGAAGCAAAGGGACTTTCTGGCCAGTTGTGACAAATGTTTTGTGTGGGGGGGCTCAAAGGGGCAGGCTGTGGTCTGGCCTCGGGACCCCACTAAGGCCTCCATTACCCTTCCTTCCCTGGTTAATCAGATTCCCCGGGGAAAGGGGCTGTTTTCCCAGCTACTGTGATGTATTAACAGACAGCTCAAAACAACACAACTCTCTCTGTCCATCCACAGCGAGCTAGCATCCCCAGACTCCAAGCCCTGCCCCTGGGATCTAAGAACCTCAACCCCCACCCAGGAGGCTGCCCTTATATTCCCCCAGCAGGTCCCCTCCCACCTTATGCAACACCTTCCCCTCCACTCCTGGGCTCATTCCCTTCACCTGGGAGGCAGGCTACCTGGAGCCACGCCCTCTTAAAGAGCCAGCTTCCCCTTCCCCCGCCCCGGGACAGCCTTGGTTAGGGGAAACGAGCTGCCCTCGGCTGATGTCGGGGTGGGTGGGTCTGATCCAGAGCCGCTGGGATCCCTTTCCATGGACATCGGATCAGGACCATGGTTTGTAAAGCACTTCAGGGGCCTTATTCATTCTGTGACTTGCAGCAAAGTCTAGAGGCACCAAATGAGATTGTGCCGGGCGCTGCACAGACGCCAACCGAGATCACGGCCCTGTCACGCCGGGCGCTGCCCAGACCCAAACCGAGATCAGGGCCCAGTCGTGCCAGGTGCTGCCCAGAACCCGGCCGAGATCAGGGCCCCGTCGCGCTGGGCGCTGCCCAGACCCCGACCGACATCAGGGCCCCATCGCGCCGGGCGCTGCCCAGATCCTGGCCTAGGTCAGGGCCCCGTCGTGCCGGGCGGTGCACAGACCCCGACCAAGATCAGGGCCCCGTCGTGCTGGGCGCTGCCCAGACCCCGGCCGAGATCAGGGCCCCGTCGTGCTGGGCGCTGCCCAGACCCCGGCCGAGATCAGGGCCCCGTCGTGCCGGGCGCTGCCCAGACCCCGGCCGAGATCAGGGCCCCGTCGCGCTGGGCGCTGCACAGACCCCGACCGAGAACAGGGCCCCGTCATGCCAGGTGCTGCCCAGACCCCGACCGAGATCAGGGCCCCGTCGTGCCGGGCGCTGCACAGACGCCAACTGAGAACAGGGCCCCGTCATGCCAGGTGCTGCCCAGACCCCGGCCGAGATCAGGGCCCCGTTGTGCCGGGCGCTGCCCAGACCCCGACTGAGATCAGGGCCCCGTCGTGCCGGGCGCTGCCCAGACCCCAGCCTAGATCAGGGTCCCATCACGCCGGGCACTGCCCAGCCACCAAGTGAGACATAATCCCCGCCCCAAAGCACTCACTATCTAAATAGGCAAAGGGAGGATTATCAACCCCATTTTACAGATGGGGAAACCGAGGCACGGAGCGACGTGCGTGATCCCATGCTCACAGCATGAATCACAGGATCATTCACCCTAAGGGGCACCCCCCCTTGTGTGTATTGGTTAAAGCCTCTCAGGGTTGGCACACTAAAGGCCCACATAATAGATCTACTTTCTCCCTCCCTTGCTCCTTATCTTATCTCTCCACTTCCCTTATCTCTGGCTTTCCCTCCTCTCCTTTCTCCCTCCCCTGTTCTCCCTCACTGTCTCAGCAGGTTCTTGGGCATCGACTTGTGACGTTTGCACAGAGAAGGAATGAAAGTCCTTCTTTATTATTTGTAGCAAGACACTGCCTAGATGCCACAGAAGACATCAGGGCACTGCCCAGACCCCGACTGAGATCAGGGCCCCCCCCGTGCCGGGCGCTGCCCAGACTCCGACCGAGATCAGGGTCCCGATGCGCCAGGCGCTGCACAGACACATACTACATCCAAACTTGCACTGAAATAACAAAATCAGTTGTAACTCACACCTTTTGTCAATTGCATGCAAGTCTGTTTGGCCATTGATGTCAGCATAGAAGTTTCCTAGTTTGATAGCCCAACCAATTCGAATGAGGACAGTTTTATTCCAAATTCCTTGCAGACGCCCACCAAAATCTTGCCCCAGAGTGTGTGGGCCTTGTCCTCATGGGAAAGGGTTACCTTAAATCGGCTTCAAAGCTGCTCCAAGGAAAGCAACCCAAACCCCAGTGCGAAAGCCCCGGTTTCTGTTTAAGAGCCGCATAGGTTCGGTTTAGCTTCCACCTGTTCCGATTTAAGCTGACGTGAAAGAAGACGGGTTTAAACAAAAATAGGTCTCAACACAGGGGTTCGCGCCAGTTTAAAGTTATGCGGTTTTGCCGGTGTTCCCGGCCTTTGCAAAGTTGCTTCCGTTAGGAGGAGAAATTGATGCTACAAAGCAGGTGTGTTCTTTGGCGCAGTCCTGTTTATTCACAAGAAACGTACGCACAGTCCTGGTCTCGTGAGCACGGCAGCTTCCTTGCACCGAAATGCCCACTTCTGCCTCTCCAGCAGGTCCTGTGCGCAAGAAACAGCGTCCCTCTGTGGCCTCCATTGGCAGATATCCCACAGCCTGCAGCCCAGGGAAAACACCACACTGGGCGTGGCTTAGCTCTGACCTGCCATGCTTTGGGCGGTAAGCCCCTGGTGTCTGCAGCCTTCTTGAGCCCAGAGAACGGCTTCATTGCTCCTCCCATTGAACCTGAAGCAAGGAGCTCAGCCCAGCGAGGCCTGTGGTTGGCTTTGGATCAAAGGCATTAGGACCTTTCAGTACGACACCCCTTAGGAGAAAAGAATGTCACATTCGCCTCTAGATCTAAGTAGGCAAGGACAGGATTATTATCCCCGTTTCACAGGTGGGGAAACTGAGGCAGGGAGCGATTAGAAGTGATTGGCTCAAGTCTGCACAGGGAGTCTGTGGCAAAGGGAGGGGAGTTGATCCCGTGACCCCTAGACTCCAGTCCTGTGGGCTAACCACTGGGCCACGCTGCCTCTCTCAGCAGGATGCTTTGGTGCAAACCCCTGACTCAGTTTTTCTTTATTTTGTTTGCCCAGGAAACGAGGCTATGAAGTCATAGAGGTGAGTCCGAGCCGTGGGTCGCCTGGGAGCAGAGGTGTGCGGGGGGGAAGCTGCCACCCCTGAGGTTTGCTACTGGGAACTTTTGGCCACGTGCCAGCAGGCTAAGCAGGGTCTGGCCTGGCTGACTGGGAGACCTTGGCACACCCTGATGTTATAGGGAGGGGCGTGGGTGACTCGCGGATGAGTCAGTGCTGTTCCCAGTGCCGGGGAGAGGGTGGTGCCACAGGGCAGGATGGGGCTGACCCAGGAGGGGGCACCACCCAGCCCCTCCCTGCCCCTCCCTGCCCCCAGCTCTGCTCTGGTCCTGCCCCCAGCCCCGGCTCCCAACCCAGCCTCGGCATGGCTCTGCTCCCGGCCCTGCGCCAGCCCCCAGCTTGGCCCCCTTAATCCCTGTCCGCATCCCTCCCCCCCCCCCAAGCTACAGCCCCGCTCCTGGCCCTGGCTGCAGCGGGTGTGTGCAGATGGGGTAAGGGGGGGGCGTGACCCTCAAAAGTCTGGGAACCGCTGTGCTAGGGGTATGGATATCTATAGGGGAATTACTGCGGTCTTCATGCACCACGCTGGGACTCAGAGGGGAGTGCGCCCCCTACCGAGCTCTGCTCCCTACAGCGCCCCCTAGCGCCGCATTGGGGTCAGCACTGACCTCCCCACCCTGGGTCTTCTTGGCCCTGCTCAGAGCAACGCGGAGCTGGCTGGAGGACCGGGGATAAAAATCAAGCGGGGGCGGGAGCATAGGTCAATGACCCAGCCGCCTGGATACCAGGGTGATGGGCACCCAAGATGGCGCGTGCCAGAACCCATCGCCTCCCTCTGCAGAGGGGCTGAGGGTTTAAGTGCCTGTCTTTGTTTGCCTGCGCTGGGATCGGCCCCGTCTGTCAATAAGAACTGGTTTAAACTGACAGCGGCTGGCAAAGTCCACAGAGATAAAGCTAGAGCCGTTTCTGGGTGGCACCGGCGGAGGATGACCAATATGGCGCGGAGCCAATAAGGCGTTAACTCAGGTGGGCGTGAAAGAGACTGATGCTTTGTTCGCTGGTGTGTGGTCATTCCCCCCTCTCCCTCGGGTGATGAATCATCACAGCGTTCAGATAGCGTGAAGGATCAGATCAATTTAGGATCCCCCACCCCCGCCCCGCCACTGAAGGCATCCACCTCTGGGGCGGGGCAAGGCAGCTGATTATAAAGAGATCACTTCCCCCCCACTAAACTGCATCCACTTCTGGGGAGGGACGCACTGCTTGCTTTGCCCGCTACGCTGTAGTATTACTTTGCAGCGGCTCAGAATGTCTGTGTTCACTGGAGACAACCGGGTTCCTAGCGGTGCCGTGGGTGGCGGGACCAAAGGCGTAAGGCACAGCGGGGTGGAAAGTCAAAGGCCGCTGTCGGAAGAGCAGGGCGGGAAGTTTTCAGTGGCAGTTTTCTCGCCCAAAAATGCTGAGTTGTCCAAACCGAAACGTCTCCTGGGGAAGGGGGCCTCAGGCCTGGAATTTCCCTCAAAACAAGAGTCAGCAAGAATGTCACTAGCGTGGCAAATAGGGGCTTGCACCTGGCATTCGCGGGCCTGAAGGCACCGCTGTCACTCTTCTGACCTGCATCACACACGCACTAATCCCCGTTTGAACTTCAGCAGATCTTCTTTAAAAAAAAAAGCCCGTCCCAGCTTGATTTACAAATTGCCAGCGACCGAGAACCTGCCAGGACGCCCAGCCAATCGTTCCAAAGATTCGCGACCCTCCCCGTTAAAAACGCTCGCTTTCGATCCCATCTGAATTCATCTAGCTTCACCTTCCAGCCGTCACAGGGGCTGCTCGGCCTGCTGGAGTCGGGGACAGGAAAGATTGAGAAATCCCCCCCTGAGAAGAGCTATTAGCCTCAAGATCAGAATCCTCCACTAGGATGGGGAAGACCAAATTATGCACACGTGAATTTGCCTGAGTGTCAGTTAGCTCTTAAAGCTGAAATCTACCGAAGCAGGTTTGCTGATATATAATTGGATCCAACAGCTACCCCCTTGTTGTTGAGTCCAGGGAGTGTTAGCTTACTTGTTTAACACTTTTCTTTTCAGATCAGCTTTTAACTTGAACAGCGTTTCTCAAATCAGGACACCTGCTTATTCGTAACCAACCAACCATTTATTAATCCTTTAGTACCTAACACATTCGTCACCCTTCCAAGGGTGCGCTTGTCTTCTGGGCAATTTGAGGAGCGGGGCTACTTCTCTTTGACTAGGGTGGCCCACCAGGGACAAGGTTCGAATAGTAAAAGCGATGGCTTAAAGCAAGTCTTTTCGAGCTCTCGTAGGCCACTTTGCTTGGCCTTTATAAAGGAGTTAAAATCTAAAATAAGGCCCCTCGGTGTCTCACTGGAGAAGGTGGACTCCGCAAGATAACTGACAGCTGGTTATAATGAAAGAACAGAAGGGGAAATACAACCTTTGGAATGAAATCTCACCACTTCTTATCCAAAGTGTCTTTTCCAGAGCAGGGGTGGACCCCTGGGTGTCTCCCAGCCCGGGTAAGCGTGGTGACCCCCTGGCGCTCTCTTCCTCTGGGGTTTTTCTTTGGCCAAACAGTTCCTAAGGTCTTGGATTCGTCCTGATGAGGGCTGGGAAATGTTGGGAGATCTTGAATATTCTCGTGGGACGGGTTCCCGGCCTAGCTCCGGCTCCCAGCAAAGAAGGGTTTTTAATCTCCGCTTCTCCTCCCGTCCCAGATTGACTTGGCCAAACCCCTCTGTGAGCAGGGCCCCTTTGACGTCATCATCCACAAACTCTCCGACCTGATCCTCGAGTCCGGCTACGACAGCCAGTCTCACCAGCTCATCCGCGACTTCCAGGTAAGGACTGGGGGCAGGTTAGTAGATTCCACTAGGATCGCCAAGGCCATCCCCACCTTCCCTGCAATGATTCCTGCTTGAACGGGAGCAGATCTTTAAAGAAAAGAGAAAAATCCCCTCTTGATTCAGCAAATGGCCAGCCGGGGAGAATCCACCACAACCACTGGTAAGTTCTTCCAATGGCTAATTACCCTGTTAAAAATGGACGGCTTATTTCCAGTTTGAATTTTTCCAGCTTCAACTTCCAGCCATTGGATTTTGTTAGATCTTCCTCTGATAGACTGGAAAGCCCGTGATCAAATTTCTGTTCCCCACGTAGGTCCTTATAGAGTGGGATCAAGCCATCTTCTCTTTGCTAAGCGAAATAGATGGAGCTCTTTGAGACTCTCCCTATAAGATAGTCCTTATTCCCCCAGCTCTTCTCTGACCCTTCTCCAATTTATCAACGGCCTTTTTGAATTGTGGACACCAGGACTGGACACAGGATTCCAGCAGCAGTGCCAAATATGGAGGGGAACTAACCTCTTGACAGATACTCGCGTGTCCCCTGCTTAGGTGCACGTGGTGTCTTTGTCTCCCACTAGTGGTAGCTCTGGTTATAGTGCTCCTTAGTACAGGAAGTGACTTTTGGATTCCACTACCCAGAATGCGTTCGAAGCACTCGGATGCGTCTGAGTCTAGACAGCACCTCAGGTGCATCGTTTGCAGCGAGGTGATCAACACAAACCCACTAATTGGCTTTGCGGCTTTAAACCTCCCCCGCCCCCAGGACTAATTACACAAGTGCTTTGGTTCTTCAGACCTACGTGGAAACCTATTCCAGCATCATCCTCCTTGACCCATTTCCAGCTGTACGGCTGCTCCTGGACCGCTTCGAATCCTGTCGCCTCCTCCGGGAACTTCAGGATCAAGGTGTGAGATTCTGGGGTGTCCTGGTAAAGCCCGGGTGGCCAGTATCCAGTTGCGATCTTCCCCCAGAACTGACTGAAGCAGTCCCCTCATTTGAATCCCACACCAGAGGGGGACGCTGTCGGACCAGAGAGGAAGGCTGGCCCGGTGATCAAAGCATTAGCGTAGGCCTTCAGAATCCAGCATTCTCTGCTCTGAACCGTATTCCCTGCAGGGCAAGGTTAGAGAGGAGGTGGCCAGTGTGAATGCGGTGACTCACGGCCCGCTAACGGGGGCTGGGCCCCATAGAGCTCCTGCTACAGGCGTGGTTAAGAGCTTGGCTTTTGGCTCAGGCAGCAGCCATGTGTGGGAATTAGGGGTTCAGTCCCAACATGGGGGGGAGAGAGACCCAGTTCTGTGGAACAGCTAAGGAAGCAGGGAAGTCAGGAAGGCAGGAGCTGAGTGGGGTGGGGCAAGCGTCTGGGTCTGTGTGTGTTGGGGGCCGGGCGTGGGGGCGGAGGCAGCGCCGTGCACATGGGCGAGGGATGGGTGGTGGAGCCTCACAGCGGGGCGGGGAGGGGGGACAGCTCACACCTATGCAAACCACCTGCTCCCCCCTTATTTCTGCCCCACCCTGCTCTGCAGACAGCTGCATCTTCTCCCCGCCCTACGTGGAGCTGAACAGCGGGACCGGGAGCGAGGCGGCGGCGCGGATCCGGGAGCAGGGCCTCACCTTCCCCTTAAGTGAGTGAGCCCAGCACCTCCTTAATCCGTGGGGCCTTTATACCTGGGGGGAGGGGGAGGAGAATCAGCCTCATGGCGATAGGTGCTGATGGTGAACCAGAGCACCTCCCCTCCCCCCACCTGCCCTGACACCTGTGCACCCCGCCATGCTGGTCTTGCAATCCCACCAGTGCAATGAGTTTCCAGGCCTCGGTGCTCCCCGGCTCGCCCTGCAATGCTGAGCCGTGGGCAAAGCGTGGGCTGGAGGGGGGGGATAACAGCCTGCTGCTGCTGCTGGCCTGTGGAGTTGCTCCTTTGGCGCAAGTAGTAGCGGCAAGTGCTCAAGGGGGACCCGGGTTCGAATCCTGCTGGGCGCCTGGGTGGGGCTGGTTTTTACATTCCCACCTAAGGGAACGCTGGCCAAATAAACTGCCGACTCGGGGCCTTATTGACTGTGGGGCAAAGGGGGCTACAGGGCAGGTACACTGGCACTGCCGGCTTCTGAGCCAGAGCGGAGATGGGGCAGGGCTGGAGCGGGTGTGGGCAGGGCACAGCCCCCTGGGGGAGGAGGTGGGAGCTGCTGCAGTCCCCCAGCCTCTGATTGGGGGACGTGCTGGGGGGGGCCTGGCTTTGGTCACACCCCCAACAGCTCGGAGGGAAGGGATTTGGGGTAGAAAGTTCCAGGTCCAGGAGCCCCATTGGCTCTTGTTGGATGAGTCAGAGTCCGGGGTGGAACAAGGGGGCGAGGCTAAGTCATCTCACTGTCCACTGACTCCTCCTCTTCCTCCTTCAGTTTGCAAAACCCGGGTGGCTCATGGACCCAGCTCCCACGAGGTCAGTAGAATCGTGTCCCAGAACCTGCTCGTAACGGGTCGGCTATAGCTTCTCCTCCAGAGGATAACAGCCTACTACCGTGGCTCGCTAACAGAATTATTCTTTTAGCTCAAGCCACGGAGGCCTGGGTGGCTGCGTGAGAGGTTGTGGGTTCAAATCCCTCTGCTGACCCATTTTTTTTTGGGGGGGGGGGTATAAAAGCACTAGGAGACTTTGGGGTGGGTGGGTCAGAAAGGAGGGGCAAGTGCCTTCTCAACACACCAAGAGGCAATGCCAGAGATCAGGGTGGGTCAGCAGTGGGGCCGCTGGGAAGTTTTTGCATTTAAATAGTTTTTGATGGAAAAATCAGATTTTCGACTACACAGAAAGCGTCTGCTGCCCACCGGCAAAATCCGACTTTTCCTCAGAAAAAAAAGAACACAGAAACCCCCCCACCCCAAATTTGGCCAAACACCCAAAAATTTCTATTTGGAAATGTTGCTGGGGTACTTGGTGGGAGTTGTAGTCTGGGACCTTTATTTCTTCATGCTCTAGGCACTGAATTCAATCTCCCATGATGCACCAAGGTATTCTCCTCTTCCTCAGCCCCCACAGTGCATCATAGGAGCTGTAGTTCAGCTGCTTTATGCCTCCGTTCTGTCCTACAGACTAGCTGCCCAGGCGGACTGCATCTCCCATGATGCACCGCTGTGGCTCAGGAGGGGAAAGCTTGGTTCATCATGGGAGATGTAGTCCAGCTAGGAAGCCCCACCTATTGAGGTATGAGGCACCTGAACTACAATTCCCATGAGGCACCAGGACTGTATTTCTGAGCCCTTCCCTCCCTGCCACCCATTCTCTGACCCTCCTAGTCCTCATTATGCAGCCACCGAGGTGTCTCTGGACGAGACCATGCCTCCCAGCATGCTGTGGGGCCGGGCAGTGGCTCAGTATAGGGCATTGCATGGAACTCCCCACATGCAACGAGTCGGCCCAACAGAGAGCATTGCATGCTGGGAGCTGCGCCCCACTCACAAGCCACACCTCTGGCTCCAGCTGCAATTGGCTGCTGGCAAGTTGCCATGGCAACCAGGGCTAGCGGGATGCCAGCAGGCGGTGGGGCTAAGAAAGCCCCTCCCCTTTCCCCATCCCTCAAGAGAGGCCCCCTATAGACCCGTCCCCGCCCTATGGAGGCCCCTCCGTCCATTACCCTGCTCTTCTCCGCTCTCCCCGCCTCCCCCCCATAGATGGCGCTGATCTTCAACGAGGAGGGGCTGGGGGAGGTGAGCGCCCCCTGCCTGCTACAGAGCTTCGTCAACCACGACGCCGTCCTCTTCAAGGTCTTCGTGGTAGGCTCCTCCCACTTTGTGGTGCGCCGGCCGTCCCTGAAGAACTTCCCGCGGGGGGAATCAGGTGTGTGTGTGGATGGGGGAGAGGTGGCACCTGGGCCATCTCCTCCTGTGGGGGCTGGAACTGAGACTCTGTGGTCCCTCCAGCCCTCGGTCTCCCTGCTGAGGCTGCCCGGGGCGGGCGGGGGGAGCAGTTAGCGCCAGTCCTTGGGGGGCGGTTCGGTGCCACGGGTTCCTGCCCTACTGGAGAAACAGGGCGGAGGCCCAGCAAGCTCATTGCACGGATGACCATCAGGTTTGCTCTGTACTGAGCTGGAGTCAAGCCGGGCAACCTGGGGTGAAAAAGCGTTCACGTGCCCTCGTCCCTCAGAGAAAGGACCAGATCCCCTGCCGGGGTCAACCATCCATTGCCCCACTGGGGTCAATGGGGGCCAGATCCCCGGCGGGGGCAGACTGCATGGCTCTGAGCTGGTGACCACTGAGCCCAGAGTCTCTCTGGAGCCCCGTGCCGGAGAATCTCCCGGGCGCACGCTGCCTGAGCCCAGGTGAGCCGGGCTCGTGACCTCGCTCTGTTCCTTACAGCCAGGAAAAGCATCTTCTTCAACAGCCACAGCGTCTCCAAGCCGGAGTCCTGCTCCCGCCTGACTGAGGTGAGCACGGGCGCGGGGAGGCCGCAGGATGGGGCGCGGTGCCAGAGTCAGAGAGGAGCCGCTCTGAGCGGAGGGGGCGCTGTGCTTCAGGGAGTGGGGTGAGGGGCTCGCTAGGGGGCGCTGTCCC